GTCCGACTGTACTGGTGCATATCTATTTGTTCATTTTTTTAATATTATCAGCAGGGAAAAAATTCACAGCATGATAATTTAATTATGCTTCTAATAATTTTCTAGATCGATATGAAACGGCGTAAATTCTCTCGAAAACAAGCGGTTAAAAAAAGCTACACGCACACATTTTAATAGAAATATTAAAAGATGATGCATTTTTATCATTATTGTCATGAGGTTTCTATATAATACTTTATGTTTAATATTTTGTATAATAAAAAATGTGTTTTTTTCATGCGCATTAAAACTATATAAAGTTCATAAAGTAAAAAAATGTATATAAAGTTGAAAGAAATAATGGTTGATTTCACCCATTTTGATAACTTTTTCCAAGTTACAAAGTACATCATGATGTGTATGAAATATAGAGTTTTACAGAGCAACTTTCACTATATCAGTTGATTAATTTTTCAATTGATTCAGTCAATGTTTTAAGAGGAAAAATTTTCACTCTAAGTGCTCGGAAAATCAAAGATTTTGAAAAACAAAGTTTCAGATGAAAACTATTATATGATCGAAATATTGAGAGAACCTATTGAAAGATTATCAACAGCGATAGCTACTGAGAATCTGAAAGTTGATGTGCATATAAATCATTAAGAGTGTAGTTTAGAGCTATGAGTTCGTCACGATTGCTTAAATACATCAAGAATTATAATCTCATCTTGTTCACTGCAAGACTGCTGTCGATGGAGATCTCTGAGTCCTTGGCATCAACATGATAATACATGGATATGGGTGGGAGCGTGAAAGTATCAGGTAGGATTGGGGTAACTCTTGGTACTCATTGAATTCAATAAACTACAATTAAACCCACACCCACCACCGCTCGATCTTCTTGATGTTTTTCTTTCATACAGATAAAATTGGGTTTCGACTGAGTTTATTTTTTCAATCGATCCCTGGGGAAGACCTGAAAGCTGAATTCTTCGACAACAATAAAAGCTGCCGAGTTGTTTTGAAAAATACATTGATTAACTCAGTTTTTTGGTGCTGAACAGAAATCCGACGCTGGATCTTTTTATTTTAAGTGAAATTCCAAAAGAAATATATGAAATCCTACTAATTTTTAGTCAAAATCGACACTCCAATGACAATTTGTATGTTTGTAATATGTCTTTCGTAAACTGTTTCTTCAGATTTTTTAGGTAATGCAAAGAACTCTACTTAGCAAAAGAATGATGATGTTTTCTCTTGCCATTGAAGAGAACAAAATTTACGCTGAACGTGTCTCACAATCTAAAGTTGGTTTTTCGACTAAAAAGTCCCAAGAACCAAAGCAAAAAACTTGATATTTACAATAGTGTTAGAAGATTATGATCTATTCGATGCAGTAAAAAAAATCTTTTTTCGTTGTTGCAGCACCCGCGAAAGTGGGTTAGCCACCAAAATGGATAATTTTTTTTTAATCTATAAAGTATCTCTGTGAGATATTTTCACAAATATCGTTCAGAGGTGTCCTGAGTGGAAATGGGAGGCAGGGCATGATCTTTCTATAATAATAATCGGTAACTATCGTTGAGGGATCGGCAGAAAACATGAAGTTCTATAGCAAATTGAAGTAATCAGCTGGTGTTTTTATTCGAAATTCCGGCTTAAACAGTAGTTTTTGCCACAAAATTGTGCAATATTAAAAATTTTCGTTTCACAAAGTAGTTGGATGGTCATACCCGCCTTCAAAAACAAACTTTGATCTTTCTATTTTATGGCATACTTGACTGCTTCCTACCTTCTGAACAGCTTGTCGCTAGCATGGCCACCTTCGACGGCGAAGTTACTAAGAGTTATAGCAACACGTTTTGCTTTCGAGAACAATTAGGAAAAGAAGAAATTTTTCATCAATCTCACATAAGAAGAGTTTTCGTTTTGCGAAAAATAACAGTTTGCATAACCGTAATCAACGTAGAAAGACTTGTAAATTTAGTCCATTTTCCCTTCGAAACAGCCTAGTCGAGAACAATCTGCGGCATAAGTATTGAGCAGTTTTATAACATCAGACTGTTATGTCAGTGGAGACATCTCCCGACATAAGAAGGTCCTCTTTATCCCTCTATCCGATAAAGGAGGAGGAGGAATCAATTGGTGGAAGAGAGAGAAAGACATTCCTTGCTGCTTTTTTGTTTTTTTCGATTCATTCGTTTTGTTGTTTGTTTTTGTAAAGAGAGAAGGAATAAAGAAACCTGGGAAAAAGGACCTAACAATGGTGCACTAGCCGGGAAAGCAACATGCAGCATTATCTCTCGTGGCAACACACGTGTTCCCCGTGTGAGGGAGGAGATGTTATGTTCGAAGTGTTCCCCTTCGAACATAAGACAGAACAAAACGAATGATGACTATTCCTTTCTAGTGCAGTGGCTAATACGATTGCCCCGAATAGCAGGAGATGCATGGTTCGATTCCATGCGAAGGGAGATTATTCTTTTGTTCTGTTCTGTGGTCATACCATCACGTTGCTTTCTCCGCGATAACGATTAGTGTGATGACATAACACAGACGCTAGTTGTCTTCCTGAAAATTTGACAGAGAAAATGAAATTTTCTAAGAAAGTTATAGAACGGTTTCGCTCCGCGAAGAATTGGTACATTTCATGTTGCATAAGAAAGACGAGTATTAGGTCTGATGCGAAAAAAATTTTACTTTCTCCAAATCTGATTACCTTAGGAGTCTTACACACCCCAAACCTGGGACCTTCGCGTGAAGCCTGCCTTGTTGTCATCATATGAATAGATGTATCATATCAAATTGACCTAATGTAGCTATTAAATCCCAAAAACCTTTTTAATTGTCAATTGTTAGTCCCATCAGCAAAATATGTTTATCTCAACGAGATTTTCCATTTGGTTAAGATAATATAGATTTCCTTGAAAAAAGTTCTATGGACTGATTTTTGACTAAATGCGTCCCTGTTCCTTATCAGTTCTTCTTGGTAATCTTTCGTTTATTTTATTTCGATTCATCAGTTCATATGCTTTACTTATCTTTTTAAAGGATATTTTAACAATGATTGTACGTGAAAATCGACGTAGATGATTGTTACTTTAAAGAAGCAACTTTTGAGTTATAATTGAACTCAATGGATTTTAATCACTGACTGCACTACAAATATCTTCTCATTAAATGATAATATTGATTGACAGAAAAAAACTGTATAGAAACGACTCATGATATTATTACAAAGACATAATATATGAGATACAATTAATTATCTACCACTATTAATGAACTGTATCGAAGTCAGATTTGATCCCAATTTAATTCATTAATCACTATTGAGAGCTTGTTAAGTAAATTAAAGTTTTCATGTGAGAATTGTCAACGATGTTGTGCTAAATACAATATAATTCATCGTTAGAATTCCAATAACGAGTAAGATGATTTAAGAAACAATTTTGTTTATCATCTCCTTACAATCATATGTGACTGGAGAAAAATAATATAGTTTTTACTTAGTAAGGCGATTCATTTAGTATTATACACAAAATCATTTGATTTGAAGAAAAAAAGAATTAGAATAAAACAAACTAATTTTGTCCGAAGTAAATAGAAAACTCTTGCTTTCAAGTTTTTGTAGCATTTATAAAACTTTTTTTTTACTTGAACGTTACAGATGTTTGTAATGCGATTGCACATGCCTCTGTTATAAATACAATGTGAAGCACAGAATTCAACTGATTAACTTTTTTCTTTTTTAATTAGAGAAGGATTAAAAAACTCAGCATGTTTCTTCTTTTTGTTTCTTAATCAAGTCTTACCTTTGACAAAAAAGAAAATTACGTATTTTCGTTTTAACAACAATCGTTCTTATAGAATAGTGATTATTAATATGGATGAAAAAGTTTCTTTTATTTTAAGTATGTATAAACAGAATTCATTCAAGCCAAAAGTATATCTCTCTATGAAATCCACACGAGAACGACTTACAAGTGCAGTTCACTCACGAGGTAATTTTTAAAATTAGAAATATTTCTTTTTTTCATGGATTTTATTTATCTACAATCGATCATTAATAAAATAATTTCTTGTCTGCTTCGTTTTGTTTAAATAAATAAAGAACTAAAGCAATTGAGACATTTGTATAGTTTTGTTCGAGATTTCATTCGAATTCTTGATCTATTTTCTTACTTGAATATTAATTTTAATGAATAAGTATAATCAATTTAGAAGAAAATAATGAATAATTAATTTGTAATGATTTTTTTCTAATGAGATAACATTTTTACTATCCTTTTATAGTAAAAGTAATATTAGATTAAAGTTCAGGTTGAAGAAATAAAACTGAGCGAATAAGATGGTGGAATTTAATATAAGTTAGTGTTGCACACTGAATGATTGAGCGTCATTTCTCAATTATTACTTATATAGTCGTATAATAATGTTATTTCTCTTTTCATGAGTTTTACACATTTTTATTCTCTTTTTTTCTAATGAAGATTTTTAAAATAAAACAATTGTTCTCCTCATAACCTAGATGACAAAGGAATTTTCTAACTACTATCCTTGACTACAAAATAATACATAGACATAAATGATATTAATTTCATCGGTTCAGGCATATTATTTAAAAAATAACTTTTCAAGCATAGATCGAAATTGAAAAGTGTCTCTAAAGCTAATATAAATTATTGTTATAAATCATTATTGTAGATCAGACAATCTTACAGTACCGAATTCAAGGTATCCATGTATTGAGAGAGTCTTAGCAGGATACCCAACATAAGTACTTCGAAAATTCTCACTAATTATATTGATGTGTAGGTACTGCATGTCAGAGTACTTAACATAAGAAATTAAAACTATTTTTATACTAATTTTTCCTAGATTATTTCTTGATTGAGAACAGACTACTATGGAGTGATCTGATAAATACTCAATCAATTCAAGTCGGATCAGATTCCGGTATTGTACCTGCTAAGTTTTCAGAAATACTTTGAGAGAAACAAAAATTAAGAAATGATATTATGTTAACAGAGTACTTAGAAATTCTATACAATAGTTCTAAAGCAACTAATCCCGATGGACTTCAATTTATACGTGTACGAATAATTTCAGCAAGACGAAAATTTTCACTTCATAAGATACATCAATTTATATACTTGACGACAAAACAAGAAATGAATTATCTTCTAAACCTAATGCACGAATGAATATAAAACAATTTTAATGAAAAGATGTCATCGGAAATATCGAAATTGTCTAACCAAAAAATTGCTTTCCTATTTTGGAAAAATCGTGTCTAAAACTTGCTCCTTTTCAAAAAAAATAGGCATCTTTAGTCTAACATGCGTATAACAAGAATCTTTCGGAGTCGGATTTACAAATCACAACGCTGACTGTACAGGTGTCCACCTATGTGTATCATTTTCTCAAAGATTTTCTGCACTGACTTAAACTTCTAAAAAACTTTAAATGGGTTAAAATTTTCTTCTATTTTTACTATGTTTTACTATCAAGACAGGAAAGAGAAAAACCATATTAAATAATGTTATATTAGTGATTAGTTATTCTATAGGTTGTACAAAAATATGAACGATCAGTTATTATGCGTCTTGGTCGAACTCTTTCTGGTAAAATGATAACTACAATATGTAAATTTTTATTATAATCTATTGTAGGAGGTGTCAAAGATCCCGGTTTATTCTTTATTTAACCATGTTTTGATACAATAATAAAAATTGATTTACGAACTGGTTAATTATTATTTCTTTAATTCCATTCATTTTTCGGATATTTAATCCAGTGATAAGTGCAGCTAATGTTGAAAATGTACGTATTTCAGCACAATTACTTGCAGCTACAACACTTTGTAATATATTGTAAGTTAATTCATAGAAATGAAATGAAATATTTCTATTTGATTAATTCTATAGGAACAAAAGTTTTACATGAAATTTTGACTGAAAGTGAAAATATGGCATATTTAATGCAAGTTCATCTTTATGAAGGAAATAAATCATGCGGAGTAAAAGTTGAACGTGTTGAAATGTAAATATTTCCTTCTTGTTTCTTTTTTTTGTTGATAAATTGGATGATTTTATTTAGCAAAGATGTTCGATTATCTGTTACAATGCAACGTAGTATGGCTGCAGAAGCTAAAGGTTAGAATATTTTTCTTTCTTTACTTGTTTGAATAATAAATTTTAATCTGTTCGTTTAGCTGATTGAGAAGCTCGTGCAAAAATTATTGCGACTGAAGGTGAACGAGAAGCATTGCGATTATTAAAAGTAAAATTTTCATTTTTTTAGATTGACAATATAGAATCAATTGCATATATTTGTAGGAAGCTGCTAATCGTTTTTCCAATACCTAGTAAGAAATTTCTTTATTGAAAATTTGATTATTAACCAGATTTGCTTTTAATTGAACTTTTGAAATTAGCTAAAAATTGATGATCTGGTAAAATTCGTTAGTTTTTGAACGATATTGATATCCATTTTGTGTGTACATATATTATCTTATTGTATCCTTTTTTTATCAATAAAAGGGTGTGGGTACGAATGAAGGGAAGTATAACATCCATACTCCGCACTCACACCCTCAGAGTCGTTAGAAATTTAGGTGTGAATGCCGATGTGGATCTTTTATTCTTGCACACCCACAATCATATAGTTATATTTCGAACGGGCGCTGATTGAATAGCATGTTTTATGGATTAATTTCAATCGAATACTTATCGATCTTTCTTTAACATGCGACATACGAAATATGGAAAATCTAGTTTTGTTCTTACGTTAAATTCAATTATGTTTATAGGTCCTGATATAACACTCACAAAGACGGAAATTTTATTATTATTTTCTAACAATACTTGTATGCATATTTTCACCAACAAAAGCATTAGATATTGATCGGATCAATGAAATAATCGATCGTTCATTTTTTTTATTGGAATCTATACGAACATGAAACTATTCTATAAGAAGAATTTAAATGTAAAAGATCATTCAATTCAATGAAATCTCAATTAGAAAGTTTTTCACAAATGTAAGATGGATCAAAACTGCGTTAATCATCGAAGAAAACATGGTTTGAGATTTATATATATAAAGATATATTAACAATGATAGTGAATGTTTCGATCATAAACAGCCAGAATTAAAGATTATCTTTTTTCCACTTGAGTTGAAAATGTTTCAATTCAAATTGAACGAAAAAATTTCATACACCAGTTTGCAGAATGGAATAAAAGATTATTTTGAAAAATGTTTATAAATTCTGATCCTTTTAAATTGTAGTCTATTCTATCGCAATTTTAATTTCGTACAACAGCAAAAGGTAAGAAAAAGCATGTTTTAGATGTTGCAAACAATATTTTTTGCTCAGAAGTGATTAGATAAGAATCAGAGCAAATTTCTAAAGATAGACGATTCAATTCTATTTCGAACCCATGGATGATAAAAATTCTACATAGTTCGATCTGAGTACTATGAAGTGTTGGTACGAATGTCAATATTCTCTAAACCACTAAAAGTAAAAAATAATTCATTGACTTTGATAGAAAATTTCGAATTTCTTGGAAAAATCTTTTAAAAAATCTAAAGAGAAATTTCTGATCGAAATTCATTTTTTTCCTGCAATCGAACTTTTTCAATTGTCTTTCGTAGCAGTGAAAAAATCAAACAATGTTTCTATTTCAAAAGTCTATTAGATTTGAATCAATGTTAGAAAACAAAGAAAACTCTTTATGAATCCTATCAAAATAGTAATTATTTTATATGTAACGATCAGGGGAAGTTATATAATACTTTCAACAAAAAATTTTACGCAATTATTCTTTAAGCAGCAATAAGGAGAGGATGTTGGATGTGATCTTCTTCAATGATCCAAGTTTAACACTCACATCCTAAATTCATTAGATCATCTACTAGTATGATGAAATATGAGATTAACAAGTTTAGTTAATTTCATACTTATAAAAGGTCAGAAAATATTTGATTTCATTTATTCGGTAACTATAAACAGATCAACAAGATCTACGTCTAAGATTTTCCAACAAGCAAAATATTTCTTTTCGTTTTATCATTCATTTGATGCCAGAAAACAAACCCACGAAAATAACTAGATGTGAATTGTTGTTTACATATAATTCTTTTAGCACATGATGAATTATTCATATACAAAGACCAGGTGATAGTGCTCATTGAATCTAAGCAGAACTCCCTCAAATTACTATGATATGCAGTTTAGTAATATTTATAATGATGAACTTTTTTTTCATCTACGAATCTCGAAGATTTAAAGAATAAAAATACACTATAGTTTATCATCAGGAGACTGTTTTGAGATAAATTAATAGATGTTGACGCATAAAGGTGAACATATGTTTACCACAAAATGATTCAATCTATCATTGAATAAATTCGAAAATATTTTGAAGAATTTTTGTACTCATAACTAATTCGATCAATTCATGTCATTGAGTGTGTGTGCCTGTGGATAGAATTTAATAGATCATGACACACAGAGTTCACAGTTACACCCACACCCTCAAGACGTAGGTGTTAATAAAGGAAATGCAAGGATAAATAAGTATGAAAACTCGCTCAATAAAGACTATAACATCAAATAAGTCATAATCTTATGGATGACAAAGTAAGAAAACAAATGATGATTGATCGATGCTAATAGATATCGACGACTATCAACAAATTGAGAAGAAAAATTAAACAAGAGATAACTTCTTGTAATGCAAATTTAGAAATTCTAGAGAAGCTTAGAAAGAAAAACGAAGCCGTGACATTCAAAACAATTTCAAAATCTAGATGCCATGTTATAATCAAATATCAGAAAATATTTTCTTATCATGTGATTAAATTCATTCTGCTCTTTGTATTGATTGTCTTAAATTCATATATGATCTATAGAAACTTTAGCTTAATAGCTTATTGTTATCTATTTTTCAAGATTTTATTTTATTCATTTATAAAAATAATATTAGTTTTGACTATAACTACAGAATTTTTGTTTATTAAATGTAGTCAATAATAATAGATAATTTAAAGATTTTGAAAGAGCCATTCATTATTACTTAATGAATAGCTGAATGCGAAAATAATACCACCACCAAATATACATGCTGTTGTAATGAATGATCCTATTAGAAGATGGCTCATACCTTTAAATAATGAAAAAATTAAATTTATTTTTATATGAATAATAAAAGATTTCTGTTGTTTTTACCTGAAATTCCTTGTCCACTAGTACATCCACCTGCACAACGTGCTCCTAAGAGTAATAGAAATCCTCCAAGAATACTACTAAATATATTTGTTCCATTTTCTGAACCTAATGGAATTGTTTTTGATAGACCTGATGATAAAGCACTACCACCAATAGCTCCCAAAGCAAATAGAATAGCTACATAATTCTTAAGTCCATAGGCAAATGAACTTAACGATGGTATCGCTTGACCAATTAATTTAATTCGACATAGTTGAGCAGCACATACAGTAAAAGCCGATGAAATTCCCAAAGATTTCTCCAGAAAAAACATGAAAAACAATTGTAAAAGATCAATACCAGCACCACAAGCTGATGGTGGCCATGCAGCCAAACCCAAAAAATGACCTGTGGCATTTTCTGGATTAAGAGTGCCTTTTTCTAATAAGTCAGGGTTTAAATCAGATTTCCAAGGAACAGCAAATTCTAAACTAATGGCGATACCAAGCAAAATAAGACCCAATATCGTATGACATGTAATACTTGAAATATGAAGTATATCACAGGTACGTCGAAGAACAAGTGACTGTGGTGGAAGTTTTTCTATTGAAACACGTTCATGTACAAATATATAATAGAAATAAGTCCCAAGAAGACTACCCAAACAAGTAAATAAAGAATTAACAATACCGGAACCTCTGCAAAGTATAAAAATTCAAACAGCAATGCTTTTTAAACGAAATTAAAATAAGAAACACTATGTAGTTATTATCACCAATCAAATAGAATACGCTCTTCATTGAAAAAAAGGTACCTATGAGATCATTTGAAAGTTTCATGCTTTTCACGAAACCTAGAATAGTTTTTGAGAACATTATGTAAGCTTTGGAAATTTTTTTCTCAACCACTCACAAACATTTTAAAGGGTAAAGTGGCAAAACATCGAAAATGCAGGATATTGAATGAGATTACTAAGCAAACTCTAATATTGCAGCATTTACTTGTTTATATTTTTAAATTGAGGGGAGATAACGATTTTATATTGTTCTTGAATATTAAAACTATAAGAATCATAAAGAAATTCTTTTATTTAAAGTCGAATGCACAGAAGAAATAAAAAAAACATAAAAAATTAGGATTATTTTTTATTTTTCACATCTTTTGCAACAAAGAAATAGAATCCTTGTAAATATTCTTAAACATAAATTTCTGAATTATTGACTCGAGCTGCAAATGTTTCAAGTCTATCTAAGAAAAAAATATTGGTAAATACGAATTAAGAGATTCAACATACGAGCTTTTTGTGATCATAAGCCAAATATTAGACTAGATTGAGAGAAATTATCATTAGAAAGTTCCTGATCATATATCATGCCAATAGGAGTTGATTCTTCAATTAGTCTTTTTTTTACTACCTTTTTGAACATTTTCCATTCTACCTCTTCCGGTGATGCCGAATGACTACCATGATTACATTTACTTTTAATAAATTAATTATCAGAAATAGTATGAACATTGGCACTACACATACGCTCTTGGCAACTCAAATATTTAACTTTTGTTGTGGCTTTATTCATTCTATACAAGTAACTGTTGTACACCAGAAGAGACTTCTCTTTGTTGCTTGTGACGAAAGAAATAATTGCGAACATAAAAGATGAATAAAGTAACTACATGTGAATTACGTCGACTGATTTAATGTCCTTGTACATGATTAGGACGATACACATATATACATATATGAATAGCTAATAAAAGAGAAAATCGTGGCGAAAGAAAATAAAAAATTCGTATACATCTCCTTAGTAAAGATTTCATCAAAAATGATGTAAACATACGAAGAGAATATACATGTTTGAATCATTTTTTTCTTTAGTATGATTTAGAAAATTTTCGACGTTTTGTACTATCGATGTTTTGCCACCTATTCTTTTAAGGTATCTTAAGTTTTTACGAAGTCTTCCTTAAAACTTAAATTTTCGAGAAAAGATGATTTTATATGGTACTTCATTGATCCGCCGTCTATACACTTATCAATAGAATATTGAATATCGTGAAAAAATTAGACTATGGTGCTATTTTTTGCAAAATAAAATGAAGAAATTTGCAGAAATTCAAAAGGTTTTCAATTTTGTTCTAAAATTCGAAACTGTTTGGGATTCCGTATGGTACCCATTTCTTCTTAGTGTATACTATCTTTTCATGATTCTTTCATTTAATTCTCTAAGAATACAATAAGGAAGTAGTTCAAATATCCTATGTATTTTAATACTTCTTTCGCAAAAATCATACACCTAATAGAAATATACATACACTTGAACAAAAACGGTTCCTGGACAGCTGCCACATATGACCATACCCAAACCAATCATAGTACCACCAAATATATAATGAAGAACTAAAATTTTCAGATTTCATTATGTATCAAATCTATAGAAAGTCGCTTACTATCTCGACGACTATTGTGTTCAATATAACCATTAAGAATTTTCTCATATAATTTTGCATTACTTAGAACAAGTAGAACTACACTTAACATAGATACTCCAACAGCTGCAAGAAACATTTTCAACATCGCAAAACGTTGAAATAACATTTGTTTACGAATAGTCGGAGCTACAAATACAGTGCCTTTGTTCATAAAAAATCCAAACAATATACCAAAACTGATAGCATATAAAATGGTGCGAACATCTGCTAAGATGCTTTTTATATCATAATGAATAGGTTTAGTTACCGCAACCAAATTAGTTTTCGATGTATTGTTACTACTACAATAAGAATCAAAGAATTTCAACATTGAAAACTAAAACAAAGTGTTAGTTTTATTTCAATTAAACTTACTCTGAAGTTTTTTCTTCGATTGGGATTGTTATCATTTTCTATGGTTTAAATGTTACTTTTGATTTCTTTCGTCTTTATTAAAAATTTTCAGTATAACTTTTCAATAATATCTGCAAGTACAATACAACTATAGTATAATTATGAATATATGAAGAAAAAAACATTAGTATTACTAGAAAATACAAACATATGCTTTGAGAGAAAATAAGAAAAGTTACTAAAAGCTTCATGAATACAAGATTGATTTACATGTTATTTTTTACAGATGTTCAGACTATATGACAATTAGATCATCGTAATACTGTTTTTTGGTAAAGTGATTTCTACTCTCGTTATATTTTCGAAAATCAAAAATCAACCTAACGATTTTATTCACAATAATTTATTAGTGTAAAACTTCTTTTACTATTATGAAAAAAAATTTTCACATAAACTACTTAAAAGAAAATATTGAATACATTAATAATGTATCTAACCAGTATGTTTTCTTCTTCTATTTGATACTTCCAATGCAAAAATTAATAATGATAAGTCTTCGTGCATCTTACTGAAAAATTTTCATGATTTTAATCGGATTTTTCTGCAACAAAATCAAAATTATAATCGATTAATAATTTTGATTATTTTTGATCATCTCTTAACTATTACTTGATGTTGTTACTTAACCAGAGAAAAATTTTCCGATTAAAATCGGATGATTCAATACCTAATCCCAGATTACCAATCAATTAATAATTTCAATTATCCTCTAGAATAATCCGATTTCATACTGAATAACTAACAGTGTTAAACAATAGCTTAGTCGAGATCAAAAATGATCAAGATTATCATACGATTATAATTTTGATTTTGTTGCAGAAAAATCCGATTAAAATCTCGAAATTTTTCCAGTGGGGCACTAATTAGACTTTCACAATCTCTATATATATAGTAAAAACAGATCAATTTTTCATGTACAGTCTCATAACCCTGACAATGCATTTATTCATCTCTTCAAAATAAATGTTGGGTGTGGTTGTGGATATGGATGGGTGTGGGTGTAGTTATGAGTAGGATGTGGACATATGGATGGTTGTGGTTGTCGATCTTATATCTTTCAAAATTGACACACACCCACACTCACATCCTTGCCACAGTAATGGACAAGAGTATCATGAATCATTAAATATAATAAACCCATAACACTTAAAAATGAAAAATATTTTCTCTTCGTTATTGCTGTACAAGATATTCATTGATATCGAAATCATTATATTCTTTTGTTGTTTATCTAAGAAATATATCAGATTTAATTACAACATCACATATATTTGATAGTGTTCTGATGATGTTCGTACATGAGAACCAGCCTCATTTTTTTAATCAATAGAAAATATTTCTCATATTTTAGACTTTATTAACAAAATACAAGAAATCATTAGAATTTATTGAAATTATTGATATTATCTTTTATCTTTATGAAATAGGATAGTTTACGTGTACTCTTTTTAAATAAATCAAAGTCAGAGAAATAGTCGATATTTTTCTGTTCGATGAAATGAGTAGTTTAGCAATTGATTTGCTTTTTCTTCGAATCTAGATTCCTATATCATTTTAAAGTTTAAAATTGTTTTGATAGCTGTTTTTTTACACTTTCGTTGAATATTCAATTTCAATCTAAAACACAAGTGTTATTTCTCAATTATCAAAACATATATAAACATATATTAACTGGCAGTAATAATATATATCATTACTTTGAATCAATCTTTATCTAATGTTGAACGTGTTTTTTGCAACTTTTCATGATTAGATTGATTTAGTGAATCTATTCAAGCTAAAAAATGAAACTCATAGTCCTTGAAGTTGTATTTCAAACTCAGAAATCCTTTAGCGATACGACATGAATTATATTGATAATCATATGTATTAGATTTTATATTTTTCTTGTTAATAATAAATATGATTAAGACCATTAAAAGACAAGCAAGAGTTGATTTTTTTATTTGTTTACGATAATATTATGTCATAGATAACGATATTCAAATATTAATAATATCATTTTTGATTATTTACAGTTTGATATTACTTGATCCGTTTTGCGAAGCCATTGATATATATAATTCATGTAGGATTAGGGTGTGGATGTGGATGTTGGATGTGATCTTCTTTAATGATCTGCATCCAACACCTACATCCACACTTAAAATGAAGTACGAAAATAAATCACTTGTAAATAATGCAGTTACTTCTTCAAGCATTTTTAAGGATAGATAGATTTGTTTGGCTCTACCAAATTTATTGATGAAAGCAATAGTTTGAAAGTTTTCTAGACTTTTATTCGGAATATATTTTTGTTCGTAATTTTCAATGCACTAATCTAATCATAAAGAAGATGAAATACATTGAAAGAATATATTGTGAATACATAAAGCATGTTCTAAAAATAGCCCTGCTGACTTTTGTCAGTTAGTCTAAATAAATAGATCTTGTAGCATATTTTATACTTGTAATTCGGCTTAAAGAATCACTGTATTTAAAAATTTTTCGCTTGCCAAAGTCACAAGTATATTGACAATTTCTTACTTCACAGATGGATGAAGTTCAGTGTCTTCTTTATATAACTGTATTGATGATGTACGTAGTTGTATATAATAGTTCACCTATGATCTGAGATAAAAATCTTGTTTAGATTTGCTATTGTCGATGTCGAAAGTAAGAGCGAGATATTCTTTCTGCTATGCTCAAAATGATTTATTCTGCTTACATCCAATTCGCTGCCACTATAATCGTTTTAATTCTACGAGTAAAAGATTGGATTTATTGAATCTCTTCGTTTTAACTTATTATTTAAAATAATTCTTTCATAGTTTATTCTCGTAAGAAACTTATTCTAGATCAAATTATATGAAATTCTACATCCTCTAAATACAAAAGTCATTCATCATCAGACTACCAAGAAAAAACAGTTTCATGTTCAATAAATTTGAATTTTTTGTTTTTTTTTATGACGATGACATCAAACGGATTGTGCGCTGATACTACGTAGTATATTATGTGATAATTTAACTTCATGTAAACGCAATAATGTTACATGTAGAATCCAAAATACAGTGTGTATCAATGATACTCGATATAGGATTTCTGTCTGCTATTCTATTGAAAGAGTAACTTTTGATATCTGTTCTTCACTCACATTGCACACCCATCCTTCAGAATAGATTAGCCATTTGATGAGACTGTTAAGCAAGCATGAAACCAGTCATGGTAGCTTATTCACATCTACACCCTCATGAAAATCAATTGTTTTCTTCGAATTTTGGTTAGTTTAAACAACATGTCACTAGGTGTTTTTATGTACAAAAACATAAACGGTCAATCTCTGACTTCTTTTTCGTTGATAGTATGCAGTTTTTTGTAATCTTGATTTTAAAATGCGATTAACCAAAAATTAAGTAACATGAATGTCTTCATGAAACAAATCGTTAATTATAAAAGAAAAAAAAAAGAAGAAATTAATAGATTGTTCTGGTTTATAAAGCATGAGCAAGATACTGTCTTTAGTCTTCGTTTATGTTGTTGAAACGTAGATCCAATTTTGTTGGAGTCTATAAGAATAAAAAGAAAGTATAAAATATTTTACAAAAGAAAGAGAATTACCTTATTGAACGTTAGAGCATCAGAAAGCTGTTTTGCTTCTAGATGACAAATATTATTGTTTCGAAGTTGTAGTTCGACAAGCGTCTATAATTCAAAAAGAAAACAAATACCAAAAAAAAAATCATTAATCTAGTTACTTCATTATTTTTCAGTAAGTCAACAAGATGAGAAATGCTTTTATCACCAATATTATTACTACTAAGATCAAGTTTCTTGATTGTCTACATGCAAAAAAAACGATAGTACAGCTAAAAACAATGATAAATGAAAATTACCTGGTTACATTTTAAATGATAAACTAAACATTGGATTCCTTCATATCCAATTTGATTGTTCGAAATAATCAGTGTATCTAGTTTCTGGATGAAGACATAGAAGAAATAAGTATTAGACAAATGTATTTAGTTCTGCGAGAAACATACTGTATACTCGTTTAATGCAGGACCAAGATATTGGATACCTTCGAAACTAATAGAATTATTTGATATATTTAGTACTGTTATGATCTATGCAAAAGAAAGATTAATGTAAGTTCAATAAGTAACAAGAAAATTACTGAGTTATGTTTAAGAGCATCAACAAGATATTTTATTCCTTCGTCTCCAATTTGATTGCCACTAATATTTAGGTTCGTTAACGTCTGTATATCAGTTAACAGATAGAAATGAAAAAAAATGTATTACAATAAATGACTACCTTCTGAGATTTTAAGGCATTAGCTAGAATTTTGAGACCATTATTACCAATAGCATTATTTGCGATGTTCAATGTAGAAAGTTTCTGTTTGCGAAAATAAAAATTTGAAGGAAGTTTCAAAAGAATAATTATAATTACCGTAAATTTTTGTAAGATGTCGGAAAGACCTTTAATTCCTTTCTCTTTTATTTCATTATTACTAAGATCCAATATATTCAGTGTCTATGTTTAGAACTAGTCGAATATGAAGCAAAATAATACTAAAACGAAACTTACAGTAGTGCATCTTAAGGAACAAATAAAATCGTACATTTTTTCATCTTCAATTTGATTGTTGCTAATATTAATATTTTCGAATGTCTTGATGAAAAGATGAAAAATATAGATATGTAAATGATTTAATAAAAAGTAACATTACCGTATTGTATAATAAGGCATTTGTGATAAATGTTACTCCATTATTAGTGATTCGATCATTAGATAAATTCAAAGTGCAAAGTGTCTGTATAAAGAATAGTAATATGAAATGTTCTTATAAATAAATTCAAATAATTTTTATACTTTTTCATTTTTTATTTTAATTGCTTGTGAAACAATAAAACAATATTGACTGGAATTATCATGAAGATCAAGTTTGATGAGTGTCTGTATAAATGAAAATCAAATATTCAATATATTATAGAGATAGAAAAAAAACAGATACTGTATTATGTTGTAAGTGTTGAGTCAGACTTTTAACTCCATCGTCTCCAATATGATTATAACTGAGATCAACTTCATGGAGAGTCTATTTATAAATAATATTTATATTTGTATGCACAAAATAAAAATCCAATCGAATGTTACTAACTGTATTATGCTTCAAAGCATTTGCAAGTTCTTCGGCTCCTTTATCTCCGATTTCATTTTTGCTCAAAATCAATTTAACAAGTTTCTAAATTATTGAATATAAGTTAGATGGATATTTTATGATGAGATAAAAGTCACCTTATTGTGTTCTATAGCACGAACAATATATTGTACTTCATCATCTTGAATTTGACAATTCGAAAAATCTGCTTCAGTAAGTGTCTGATAATAGAAATAAATCATATTCAATCAATGAAAGAAAAGATAATATTCTAATATAACTGTATTCAGCCGAATTTTGATTATTCTTTGAATAGCATCATAAAATCGACTGCAATTTCTATTAAGATGCAATGTCGTCAATGTCTTTTAATAATAGATAAAAGAAGAATGAAAATTAATAAATTACAAAACCATTGATAATTGAAACTTACTGTACTAGATACAAAAGCATTGACAAGACTTCTGACACCCTGATTTCCAAAACGATTAATCGACATGTTCAGTGTAGTTAGTGTCTATTGTACATCAGAGAATCATTAAAAAAGAAAGAAAGAGAAATAAAACTAGTCACCGTGTTCTTTTGTAAAGCATTAGCGATATAATCAGCTCCAACATCTGTAATGTTATTTCCACTCAAATCCAATACGATTATTGTCTATGTGTAGTATAAAAAGGCGAATATAAGAAACATCATACGAAATATCAGAGAAATAGTTACTGTATTATGCTCTAAGACATTGGCAATATCCTCTGCTCTTGTATCATCGATCGAACACCGGCGAAGATCTATTGTAGTTATTTTGTATATCTAGAAGTAAAAAATACATTACAAAAGATATATTCATTCATCGTACACAAGACTTGTGATTGTTTAAAAAAGGCAAGAATTAATAATTATTCCGAAGAATGTCTGAAAATATTAATCGATTTTGTCAAAAGTTTTTTTTTTGGAAACATTAGGGCATATTTTCAAACTTTAATTGAAGACAAGATTTCAAAACTCATAATCAAATTAAGAGATATGATCATATACAAAAGAATAATTAAGAATTGAGAATATTGTTATTATTAAATGATGAACTGCACAGAAAGAAAAACCTTAAAAGTTTTATTCCGAAAGATCATGGTTCATCGTACGGACACGAAATAGATATATTAATAAGTGATTAAACATTCCTGAGCAGCGACAAATTTGATTCAAATCTGGTTTTCATGAATTTGAAAAATTTTTTTAGATTCCATACAAAGTTTACAAAAACAGAATATTATGAATGTTCTAAAGTCATTTTTCATCTTTCAACATAAATTTTGAATTCTATATATGCCCACCTTAAATGCAATTCGTCTTCTAAGAAAATATTTTCTCCATAATTCTTATTATCATATTGATACTATTGAATTGATACAAACAATAATATATATATATGTAATCATTGGGTTTTTAATCAGATAGAAGTGAATTTAATTTCAAAAAAACTGCTATTCAATACCTTAAAGAAATATTTGAAAATATTGTACACTGCATCACTAAAAAATTGAAGAAACTCAATATTACAAATGTATAAAACTATGCTATTTTTCGACTGATAATTTGACATTTTTTTTTTTATTCTTTCACGTTAATTTCAAATGTTCTAAATGAACTCTAGCACTATACATCCGATTAAATACAAGTATAAAAGATAATTAACCATTTGAAAATATATGGATTCGATGGATAATTATACTGACTATCTACAATTTTAAGTGTGACATACTCCGTGTACACTCTTTGTGTATAATTTTTTGAATATTGAAGCCAAAAATCCTTTTTACAACAAAATGCAAATATTTATAAGTATAATAATTAAAATATCAATAGAATATTCTTGGTATGATTCTTTATATCGAACCGAATATTATGTTGGACAAAGTTGAATATTAAACTGGTCAACTTGAAAATTTTTCTTAATATGACTAAAATTTACTATTGAAAATATATTATATGTGAATAAACCAGAACGATACTAGTCAAGAGAGTATATGGTTCAGTTACTGTGATATTCTGATAGTATGGTTCTTTTTTTGTATATCTTCATGGTATCTAATTTATCGCTGATCAGTTTTTCTCAAGGAAAAATAATAAATTTTAATTAGGTCAAAACAACGTTTGAATACGATAGAATACTTTAAACTTATGTAAACAGAACTTCTAAGCAGCCTAACTTAAATATACGTATGGAGTCGACTTTTCTCACTTTGATTTTTCTACGAAGAACTTAACCGTGTTATTTTATAGAACTAATGATAAATTTTGATTAGTTAATCTATTCATAGATCGACTAAATTTATTATGTTTTAGTTTCATTGAAATTGATTTTTTAACATATGTTTATATTCATTGATATTCATCCAAGGGGGAAAAAGCAGATTTTAACCCCCGAAATCTCTGGAAATCCTTAGAAATCTTTAGAAATCTTTGGAAATCTTTAGAAATCTTTGGAAATCTTTAGAAATCTTTAGAAATCTTTGAAAATCTTTGGAAATCTTTAGAAACTTTTAAGAATCCTTTAGCCCTATAATGACGCATGTTACACCAATAATACATCAGTGAACTATGGAGATTCAATGGAATTTGTATTGACCGACTTTCATATTATTGTACTGTTACCGTTATATCTCTAATTTTTCTGCAAGAGAAAGAACCTTTTCAGCAAAGAAGGAGTACTTTTTTTTTATAAAGGTTGTTGAGAATACCCAAGTAAGATTGGGTAAACATTGCATTGCAATACATGACAGATTAATTAGAAAGACCATAAAGTTTAAGACAGAAATAATTCTGTATAATAAAATGTTTTGTTTGATAGTTTTCATCAAGAATTCTTCTGCTATAGGTTGAATGATTCATTGTAATCAGCTAAATGTCACTCAACTGAATCGTAGATTATAACTCATCTTTTTAGAAAATAAACATAAAATCATGAGTGATAAACCGTCAGTGGTGTTCCAAAGGAGTGTGATTGAAAAGCTGATCATGAATGTCAAACTTTCAACGAAGTAACTTAACACGTTTCGGTTTTGTAAAAAAAAATTGTCTACATATGGAACTCAATATGCAAAACTTAAAATTTTTTCTTTATGAACACGACGAACAATTTCAAAAAGTGCATGTGACACAAACTATCACCCCCAGTAGAGACACTTATATTGTCAGTTAAGGAAATGAAACACGTTAGGTTCAGAGTGAAGGTCTCACTACCAAACTTATAAATTTAAAACATTAGCTACTGTTGCTGTGTGCCGACCATGATATTATAGTTTTACAATGTTAGCAGTATATATAGCATGATTAAAGCTCAAAGTTTCAGCAGATTCTTTAATTTTATTTTTTTTATGAAAGGGAAGAGATGGTGAGATGCTTTAGATAAATACGTATGTTTCATATTTAAAAAAGAGATTGTAAAAAATGTCAAGGGAAAAATTTATGTTAGCAGCAATGCCATATATAAGGAAAATAGATCCGAAATTCTCACCTTGATATATTTTTCAAACTTTTTTCAAAAATATGGAGTCAATCTTTTAATGATTCTACTCGAAAAGTTCTATTTAACCATTAAGAGAACAGAACAAGAGATCTTACTGAAATTTTTAGTTTTGAGCATCTTGCAAACACTAGAGACAGCTGAAAACTTGAACATCTTGATCGGTACACACTGACACGGTCTCTATTTTAAACAGGCTAATTTAACAATAAGAACTTTGAATTTGATTCAAATGTGTTTAACAACTCTATTTGTCAAATCATCCACAAAAGGTGATAAATACGAAAAGCAAATGATGGACGACTTGCTGGCAGAAATTATATTATCTAGGATAATACCACTTTACATAGAAGTAGATTTTTGACAAAAGGAATAGCTAAAAGTCAGCTGAACCTTCTTTTTATTCTTAAGACCCTAATGTCAAATCTTTCTCCCATGGTTGAGATCTGTATCGAAGCTTCACAAGTATAAAGAAAATAACTCTTTGCTTCAAATGAGGACCGTAAAATGTACCACACTATTATCAATAGCCAAAGTACTTATCTTTCATTTAGTAAACGGTAGTCCAAATAGTATTAATCTAATAATGAGATCTTGTTTAGACGCCGAAAATTTGGGCTTTAGATTCCAATTCACTACGGGCCACTAAGTCTAGTTTGTTATAGTCTTGCCGGATGTATGTTTAATGTTATTAGAGTTCTGCGAAATGAAGAGTAAAAGAGGCATCGATTGACATCTATTCTTTTATATATATATTAACAAGAACTCAAAAGTTTTATATTTCATGAAAAAAAAGAGCTCAAAGAAATATTTTTGGAGTACTAAATCGATGAAATGTCCATCTTCATCAACTTGTATATTGTCTCATGTAGATTATAATTAGGTTTGGTTTTAGAAATAATTAGTAAAAAATTTAGACTTACTCGGAATTGCCGCATATACTCTGGTTCAGAAATACTCTCAATAGAATATGGACTTTGCAGAATTTCCATCGCAGTTTTCATCTTAATGACGTAGTCATACTCAAGATTTAATCTCAGTATCAAGAAATATTTATGACTCTGGATGAAAGTGAACATTAGTAAAAAGAAATTATCATTGCTAGACTTATGATGAGATTGAAGCATAAGCTTAGATTCAATCCTAATACTTTGAAATGACTAACATTACCATATTACTGTATGATTATTTTGTACAGAATAATCAATGAATTCAAAATTTTGAAGTTTTAAAGGAATGTGTTATACTTAAAGATATTAAGAAGAACAGTATTACTGCTTATTAGCTTGCATGCGAGCGAAATCAGTCTTTTACTACACACAAACTTTTAGAAAGTTCACTAGAGAGCCAAGCTCACATTGGAGCTATTCAGCATCTGGTATGTCTTCATAAGTTGTGTGGAATACTACTCAAAACTATCTCAATGATTTTTCCTCTTTATTATCTAACTATGTCGGTAGATTAGGAACAAAGAGTTTTGTTCAAGTTTCATGCCCTCGTATTGTGTATGAAAAATTCCTGTAGAAATGGACATGCTAAATTTCTGAATAGGATTTTAGTAAAGTGGTCCACAGCAGTGTCACATATCCAAGATTTTGGAGATGCCACCACGTCTCCCGCGGGAGATGCCGCATCTCGCGCGAGAGATGCGGGTGTGGGTGTGGGGGATGCGCTTCTCTAAAGGAGATCTTACATCTCCAGTGGTGAATGACCACATCTCTCGAGTGTGGGTGTCGCGTCTCCCGCTGGAGACGCGGCATCTCCCACGGGAGATGTGGTGGCATCTCCAAAATCTTGGATATGTGACACTACTCTGTTAGTTATAAAAGACCTCACATAAGAATAGAAAGAAAATAGGAATTACTGTGTGCAGCAAACAGACAGGCTATCAACCAAATACCTATAACGAGACTTAGAGTAACACTCTTTTGTTAAATTTAAGCAGCATCTTTTTCTGATTCAGAAGAAAGTCAGCAGTTCATAGAAGTTTTTTTTAATATAAATTATTTAATGAATTTCGATGTAAAGTACGAAACCTGGAACATTACTACGTCTCTACAGCTTAGAAGAGCATTAATGTGGATAGGTCATCTTTGTTAGAGAAAACCTTGTGCTGGATTGTTTCACAGAAATTGAAGAATATGAATCTCACAATGCTTCTGATATCAAAAGAAAAAGATCTTACATAATAATTTTCCGATTTCCATAAGTGGCTTATCAAAAAAAAATTGTCAGAGTAGAGTTTACAAGAGTCATTGTTGCATACTTGTGATTTATATTTCTACTATACAAACTAAAACGCCAATAATACTGCGTTAAATTTCCCAGCCATCTTATTCTATTTATAACATATATTTGACAGTCAATTTGAGAATACGAAACCTATTTTAATTGATTTCTTCGTACTATTGGAAATGTATTGAACGCAGGCCTGAAGAATCTGCCATAGCTTCCTTGCACCACACAAAAAAAAACTGAAAAATTTCCCCAACTTTCACAAACGTACGAGATAGAATATCTCTTCATTAAAAATGTATGTTAAAGAAAATAATTCTGTTCTTTTATGGATTCATGAGTTTTTTATTCAATGAATAAGATGGAACTACAAAAAATTAGTATTGTTTTTGTTCATTTTATTCAGTCGTAGAGGTAATCCGATAGTGATGGTAACTTTGCTGCTTCTTGCCGTCTCAATCGACTGATGACTAATGACTCGGACCTTATCAACTTCCATCGTTGATATCAGATGTGCAGAATCTGCCCGTCTACATGCACGCGGGTGCGAGGAAATTTTTGAAACATTATTGACTGCAGTAAAAGTTTTAGGAAATTATTGGCTGTAAGAAACAGAGGTGCAGAATCTACCCTCATGCGCGTACAATAGTTTCCGAAAATTTTTAATTTTTTTTGGAAATGCTCACTACTACTACTGCTGAGGGAAATATTTTCCTCTTCTGTGAAAGTTTTTTATTTTAGTGGCAGATTCTACACCTCTGATATTTTCCGTTCTCAATTTTTCTCAAAATTCTGCCGAGAAGTCCGTTTTTCCCAGCAGCGCCGCTGCAACCTGTTGGTAGATTCTCCATCTCTGGTTGAACGAGAAAATGAAGCACTTAACATTAAATCTTAATCATACGGAAAATTAAGGAATCGAGATTGACGAGGATCGAGAATGTTGACGCATAGTAGCTGGCTGCTGTTCGTCAAGATTCATTTTAGTAGATGTCAATAGAAAATAGAAAAGTACGATGTCTTCGCAAAATGATCGTCCCAAGCAATAAAATAAATATTTCTTTCTACATTAGCACATGTTCTTGAAAATCAAAGTTCGAAAGAGAATATAGTAGGTCACAGGAGGCGAAGGTTAAGTCAAGTTTGGTGAATGGTCAAGCGAATCATGGTAACAGACACTCTTTGTATTGCATATTAATATGGAACTTAAAATTAAATATCAAGTTCAATATTTTTCCACCTAATACTTTATTCAGTTAAAATCAAGTGAAGAAGTGATACGGTTGAGGCGAATGCCATTTAGTTTTACCTTTTGTCATCCACGAAAATCTATTTAAAAAAAAACATCGATTTCTTATAAAGTTTGACGAAACATAAGTGTGGTCGAACAATTTCAGTCTGTATTAGGCTTCGAGACATTCACCTCTATGATTTATCAGTAGACATACAGTATTTCAGAGAAACAATAATTAGTTTTATCAAAGACAAATGAAGATCACGAATAGTTAGAAGCCAATTAAGAATTTGAATTTCTCAAACCTGACTATCTTTTTTGAAACTTTACAAAAGAGTGTTATTAGTGTAGAAAGTGTTTCCTGGATGAAAAACATAAAGTTCGAATTTTCTGGCACCCAAGCACAGATTCAGATTTGTCATCGTGAATCGTTCTCATTGAAGCATTAGAATTGTATCAATACATGCAACTATGTGACTAAACAGTTAGATCAAGACACGAAAACATGGTCGCAAAGTCATTTTATCTTACACGATTCTCTTTGCAGTGGAAGGATTAAGTCAAATAGCAACGCGGATAAAATGAGACTGAACAAGTTCTCAAGCAGAGATCTATCAAAGCATGCAGATTTTCTTAAATTGAAATCTTTGGGAATCTCTGGAAATCTTTGGAAATCTTTGGAAATCTTTAGAAATCTTTGGAAATCTTTGGAAATCTTTAGAAATCTTTAGAAATCTTTAGAAATCTTTGGAAATATTTGGAAATCTTTAGAAATCTTTGGAAATCTTTAGAAATCTTTGGAAATCTTTAGAAATCTTTAGAAATCTTTGGGAATCTTAAAATCTTGAAATCTGCTTTTTCCCCCTTGTATTCATCGCACTACTTCCAAAAAAACGATTGAACAACAATCGTTTTTTTTTGGATAAAATTATTAAGAAAATTCTCATAGATTAAATATAAATCTTTGATGAAAATGAATGTTTTTACGTACCTCTTCAAAATTCGGATGGACGACTTGAATGACCGATTGATTAGCAATATAAGAAATATTATCTTTTGCTGATATGATACATGCGTTACCAGTCATCAAATGGCGCCATAATTCTCGCCTATAAATCCTATTATGTCTTATTCTAGGCTCACTACCTGTATCAGTCCACCTATAAGGATCATCTTGATAAATTAAATTATGCCAATTATAAAAATTATGAAAATATGGATATTCGTCAACATCACTGTTGTTGGTAATGTTATATTCTTCACTAAGTTTCACTGGTTTTGTGTAGATTCGCAATGTTTGTGAACGAAATATAAAATCTATATAAACAGAGCAGTGTTTCTCTTCAAGCCAAAACCGTTCGCGAAATGGTTTAATAAGTGACTTGAGAGAAGGGATATTATTGATATTTGGAGATGATGCTACATAATAGAAGAAAAATTCAAATTTTTTTAGAAGAGGCAATCTTCTTTGAAGAAGTTGTTTCAAATAGAAACCGTCTAGAAAAGAATCAAGTTTTTTTCTTTGTGATATCAATTTCAAATGCGTTAATGAAGGTGTTGGCGAAAGAAATAATTCTAATTCTTCCATTGATAATGAAAAGTCTTTAACAGTCAATGATTGTAAAACTGTATTTCTATTGAAATCACACGATAGAGAACTTGTTTTATCCATCGAATCCAAAATCCAATCTTCTATTATTAATATTTTTAAATGAGTTAAATGATTAAGAATCTGAAGATATTGCCGTAATTCACAAGTACCAATATAAAGATACTGAAGATGTTCATTAATAGGCCACTCAATATTTACCGATGTAAATTGAAAGTTTTCCAAAACAAGCTTTCGAATCGGCCATTTCCTAATAGTTGATGATATAACAGACCATATATTTATATTTTTCCATTCATTTGCACGGATCGAAAGGGTGACCAAAACCTTAGAATCTAAGTTCTGTAAAAGAAAATTCATATTATTATCATCAATATTATCAAGTATCAATGAACGAAGTTGAGTAAATTGACGAATGTTATTGAAAATTTTATCAATAGATCTATTTGGATCTTTTACTGTATAAAGATTATCAGCAATAGTTAATGACGACACATTTTTAGGTTGAAGAACACGACGGATGACATCATAATTGTTTGAAAATGCTGAATCATAATTTAAAATTATTTTATTGTAATTATCAATAAATTGACGAAAATTTTTAAAGATCAAACGAATCGAAAATATTGTTTGAATATCGACACAATCCAAAATATGATATAGAAGTTCAGGAGGTAGATCTGTCCAAGTTTTTTGAGCCATGGGTTGGTTAACAGCTGCACAATAAAGAAATAAAATATTATGCTCGTGTTATTTTTCTGATATATATATTTGATGCATTAGAAATGGATGTTTTTCCTTTTAAAAAATTTTTTATTCTTTTATATTTCTCAGTGTGATGAATATGATTAATGTGAAGAAATATCTTCCAACATCATATTACTTGTTTATGGATAGTTCTCGAAAAAAAATTTGGTATAATTCAGCAATAAAAATCGTTATTTTGAATAAAAGATTTCGTCACGAATGATTTATAATTTATTTATATTGTAGCGTACGATTCATTTTCATAAAAGTATGTCGATTTCTACTGTTAACGTATATATATGAATAATTTTTGTTGATATTTAAAAGAATTCTTTATTATTTCTTCCAAATGATTCATGAGAAAGGAAGAAAAAAATTTCAGAACACTTCATTCCATGACAATTCTATTCATTAGTATGCAAATAAACAAAAAGAAAAGTATGAAGACGTATATGTAATGTACGTTACAAGACAAATCACCTATAAAGTTCGTTTTAATTTAGAGATTTAATCAACTGAAATAGAGAAATTTTTAAGTTCTGAAGAGTATCCTATTCTACACTATAAAAAGAACTTTATGAATTATCAATGGAATATAGAATTTTTTTCTTTTTCGTTTTTAAAAGACTTTTGGTTCATCATATAAATGACTTATCAGAATTTCTCTATTACAAGTATTATTAGTGTTGACATATAAAACATCAGGTGGTCGAGACACATCATTACATCGATAAAATTTACCGGTTTTTGATAAATCAAGAGAAGAATTTTGTGAATCAATACTATCAGGTGTTGCATGGAACTGGCGACTATCAATGCCGTTCGTATTAGTTTCTAAATAAATAAATAAAAAATAACAATAGTTATCCATGAAGAAACTTCATCATTTGTTGAAAAATGAAAATAAATAAATCATATAGAATATGATCAATTTGAATATGATGCAGCATAATATATACATACATACCAGAAGAATTATTTTCGAGTACCATACTTGAAGTTAATAATAAATGCACTGATTTTCTATTTAGAATTATTAATGATATCTGAAATATAAATTAAATTTATTCAAACTATTATTATGATTAGTTAATATTGAATTCTTAATAATTTTTTAATTTATCCATTATTAATGTGATTAATGGTCATGATTGAAAAATATTTTCATATTTATCTTGTATATTAAACCAATTCTATTCAATAATTGACATGTAAATTTTATCGAACAATACCATAAAATAGATCGAATAGAATAATTTTGTAAATAATCAGTTGAATTTTATAGCGTTACAATCGGTTGTTCATACGAGCCAAATGAAACTCATAACATTTTCATATTTCTCATAAAATCAAATTAGGATTATTCGAAAATCATCAAAAAAAAAGAAATATCCAATTATTGTTCAAAATCAACTTCTGTTTTCGTCGACTTACTTGTATTATTCCAATTATGGACTTTTCCTCTTTCAAATTAAAGTGAAAGTAACAGAACGAAACAATAATCATGTTTCAATGGCAAAATATGAATCATATTCACCTGGAAATATTTGTTCTTTCTTCAATGGTAAAATAACGTCAAAAGTAATAACAATCAATATAATTATTTTTCAAGACAAATATTAAACGTTTGAATCAACCATGATGGATATCAAGTAACAAACATTGAAAACTCCGAACTAAATGAAAATCATATATTATAAAAGTAATGATACAAAATAGAGAAATCAATTAATGAATAGAGATAAGTCTTCTATTGCGAGAAGAGGTTTAATTTATAATTTGATTCATTTCAGATTCACAAAAATATATTTAATTTTGTTACCACATCTATTCATTTTAATATAATTTTGAAAAAACTTTATCAAATAATACGATAACATCCATCTAAAATAGATCAATGAAAAAGAATAATGTATGTTTGTTAATTGTGATACGTACACTGTTCACTTTCGACAAATACACGTCTTTATATATGCATAGTTTGTAAATACATAGATTATATAAGAAATATCCAACATGATGAATAATGGGAAGAAAAAAAGAAAAGAAATGAATTATTTATTCATACGGATGAAGAAATTTTGCAACAACTAAACATGAAATATAAAGTTAATTAAAGCAAAACTAAGAGAAATAAAAGATTTTCGATCATCTATAAACAAAAGTTCATAGATCTTTCTATCATGAATTTAATACTTGAAAATTTCTTCGAAATATTTATTCCAACGTGTCATATTATAAACTTCCTTGGAAAAATGAATACTGGGAAATTTTATAGTTATTTTGCTATAGAAAAATTCTAACAAACATGGAAAATTATTTATTTACGAATGAAAAAAAAGACCATGAATGAAATAATATTGACATTAGTAATGTAGGAAAAAGATGATTGTGTTACAAAACTATTAGTCACAATATTCTATTTTATACCGCTTCCTTAAGGATGTAGATGTGACATGTATTATACTTAGTTAGAAGTTAAATGAACTTCTCTAGTTTATTTATACATGATGAATAAATATTTAACACTATGGAATGAGAAAACACATATTAAGAAAGGTAAACAAAACTTAGAGATTTCCAATATACATGAATAGTGATCACTGAGATAAACCCAATACGGGTGTGCGTGTAAATTCCATTTGCTCAGCTATAGCCATATCTACCCTCTATATTTCCCTGTACTTTGTGACATTCTTCTATTTTGTTTTTAGATATTTCTTTTATGTGGTAGATAAAATAAAACTGTAGACAGTTTCTCATTATAATGTGATTTTGAAATAAAAATATCATCAAACAAATAATGAAAATAGAACTTAGAGTTCATTTTTTACGATTATTCTTTTGCACTAATATGTTCAAAGATAAAAAGATCACAACTTTTCTTTGTCATAATAGTGAACAAAAAATAACAATAAGTATAAACGTGAGAAGAGCATTGACGCCTATTGTATCTATGCTTGAAAAAAAAAGACTAATGTTGAACGTTGAACAAAAATAAATACTAATATACGTAAAAAAAATTTTATTGCATGGTAATAAAACTTATAATTTAAAAGTGACACACGAAATGAACTTAAATAATCTATCATTGAAAAGAAAAAATCGGGTCTATATATTTGCATCATTTTGTCAGTGACAAAAGCGTATTTCTATGTTGTTACTAAACTTTTTGGGTTAAAAGTTTCGTTATTTACGAAAACGATGTTTAATCAAGTTTGCGGCATTGATGCTTTGGCATTAAGAATAATTACTGATGTTGCTACTTTGTTCAGTGTTCGAAAAACATTGGTTTATTAGAGATTCTGTACTAGGACAAAATCTTAGAGATTCTATACCAACATACTGAAGGGTGTGGGTGTGGGTGGG